TCCGCTGCAGTCGATCCAGAGAAATTTCAAACCATTTCTCTAGTTTGTTCACTTTTTTTTGTTTTCTTTGCTTTGAAATTTCTCTGGGGTTGAATTTTCTCTAACTTGCTCACAAATATCTCTATGATTTGTTCACAATTTTCTCTTTTTATATTGATATTGCTTTGTAGAAGTTTGAGACCACCAAATTCTACTGCATTGTCATTGATGCTCCTGGCCATCGTGATTTCATCAACTCCACCACTGGTAGTTTTGAAGTCGATATTTCTAAGGATGGTCAGACACCTGAGCAGCATGCTTTGCTTGCCTTCACTCTTGGTGTCAAGCAAATTATGAGAATTTCTCTAGTCTTTTCCAGAGAAATTCAAAAATTTCTCTGGAGAGAATGAGAGATGAAATCGAATTGCTTGAAGCTTAGTGAGACGACGTAGAGATCAAGTAGCAAGAGAGAGAGAGAGAGAGAGAGATGAACAAACGTTCATTCAAAATTACCCAAAGAAAATTGAATAACATAGAATTTCTCTCTGCACAGAGTAATCATTCTCTTTCACCAATGCAATCTTTGGTCCAGTCTCTGGGTGAGCCCAATTAGCCTTTCCTACCACTGTAATATGTGATCCCAATGTCAACCCACGTGGAATCACCATGATTCGACCTCTCTGTTTGAATTCATTGCCTGAAATCAAAATTGAATGAATACACGATTCGGATAAATTCTCTTCCATATTTTCCAATTTGAGTAAAATTGTCCCAGATGAAATCTCTTCCCAGAGCTTCTTTCCCACCGTAAAAGCATGGTTTGCCATCTTGTGAAGCTTTGAGAACTGTGATCTTGTTCAGTAAAGAGAGATTCAACAAAAGGCTTGATGATGGAAGTAAATGGAGGTTTGGTGAGGTGGGAGGAGATAGAAGTAGTGGCGGTGGAGCAGACGGAGTAGACGAAAGAGTTGGGGTCACCGTCGGCGAAGCTAGGAGGCCATGGACGACCTTGAACCTCGCTGTAAATAGAGACAGCACGGCCGGTTAATGCCCGAAGACTTTGCAGCGAAAAAATCGCCGTTGGATACCAACCCAGCTGCCATTGATGTAGGAGAGAGAGAGAGAGTGAGAAGAGAGAGACCAAACTTAGGCCAAGTTTGGCATGATTGAAAAAAGACAAAAAGTCAAAAAGTCACTATCCTATTTAAGTCACATCATCTTATTTAAGTCACATCATCTTTCTAACAAATCACTTCAAATCCAACCCAAACTCAACCCATATTTCATAAAAAGTCAAAAAGTACACTTATTTAGTCTTCCCAAACTAGGCCTTAGTTTTTGAAGCCCTTTCGTTTCTTCTTAAATTTCTCTGTGATATATGAGTTTGGGGTTGAAGGACCTTAGACATCATAAAATAACATTATGGATCTCTTCCATTATTAAAAGTGAAAGAGGGACCTTAGACTAATTTTCTATTAATAAAAGTGAGTTAACATTATACCAACTCTATGTTATTGATTTCGATTACCAAATGATATTTTTGGATTACGTTACAAAAATTAATTTTCATGAACAAACCATTTTAAAATGAAAGGTTTATACTGAGTGGTGTTATTAAAATTTTCAATTTATATCAATGGTCCATGTAGTTTACCTCTTACGTTAATTTGTTTCTGTAATTTTAATTGTATCAATTTTACTTTTTGATTTTTCACATTAAGCAATTTAGTCTAATTAATTTTTTTGTCAAAAAATTTATATGAATTTTCTACTTTTATATTGTGAGTGTTTGAAAAGTAGTTATTTTTTAAATTTTTTGACTTTTTAACTATTTTAATAGGTTATTTTAATTTTTGTATTTAGAAAGATGTGATAAATTTTTATTTGAATTGTTATATTGAAAAATGTGTTTGAAATGATGGTGGAATATAAATTTACCAAACTGTCCTTCCCGTAATTCATAAAACAACAATGATTCATCCCACTAAAAACATCACCACTAATAGCACTAATACATTAAAAAAGTAAAAAAAAAATAAAAAAAAATACAACTCCAATATCAAAACATCACATCATTAATGGCGGGACCCACTGCCACCTAATTAGTGGGAGTACTAATTAGTGCTCCCAAGCATTTTTCTTCCTAAAAACAAAAAAAAGGGGACAGATTTCCATGTGGCTTCGCTTTAGGGACCACCGCCTGTCATGTGTGAATTTCAGAAGCAACAGATTGAAACTAGTAAATTAATTAAGGCCTTGTTTAGGAAGATTAAATAAGTTCATATTTTTTATTTTTTTATCTTTTTTAAGTCACATCAATCAACATCTCCTCTTTATTTTTTTATACATCTTTTTATAAAAAGTCAAAAAGTACATTTATTTAGAACATCCCAAACAATCCCTAAGTTGATATTATCAATGGACATTTTTATAATAAATTTTGTATATTAATTAATAAAAAGTAATACTATATGTATTAATTAATGGGTATTTGTTTAGGTTTTTTTAGTCAACTTATGGCTTTTGGCTTTTGAAAAGCTATTTTGGACTGTTTGATTAAACTTATTTCAAATAGCTTTTGATTCTAACAACTTATTTTAAGTAAAAAAAGTTGATTCTGAGAAGTTACTCATCCCTTACTTCTGATTATCAGTTTCTGCTGTAGACATGTTAATTTACGGTTAAACTCTTAGATTTTTTTATTTTTTATTTTTTTTTAAAATAGAAAAAGACCCAAATGAACTATAGAATATTATTATTATTTTTTATGAGAAATATAGACAAGTAGTGAATAACAAAAAATAAAAGTTAATTGAAAAAACTATTTCACAGCTTATTTAACAAACACTATTCAGTAACATAAATTTATAATTCAACAGCTACACCAAGATTAACAGCTTTTGATTAAAGTCATAATCTATAATCTGGCCTTGTCTGACAAGTGATGATTTTAGTCAAAAAGTTAAAAAGTCACAAAAAAAAATAAAAAAGTCAACAACTTTTACAAAAAGTCAAAGATTCCATTTTCTCTCTACTTTTTGCATATCTTTTCGTAAAAAACTAAAAAGTCATTCAAAACATATCCGTTTGGGAAGTGGGTTGGCTTTTTAGCTTTTTGGCTTTTTTGGCTATTTTAGCCTGGGCTAAAAAGTTTGGTTTGGGAAGGGCTTTTTGGCTTTTTGACTTTTTTGATTTTTTTTGTGAGAGAATAATGTAATGATTATGGGTTGGATGTGATATTTTATTTTTTGTGGCTAAAATAGCCTATTTTGTCTTTTGTGGCTAAAATAGCCAAAAAAGCCCCGTTTAGTTCTTGCCAAGCGGAGCCAGCCTCCGTTTGGGAAGTGGGTTGGCTTTTTGGCTTTTTTGGCTATTTTAGTCTGGGTTTAAAAGCTTGGTTTGGGAAGGACTTTTTGGTTTTTTTGAGTTTTTTTGTGAGAGAAGAATGTAATGATTATGGGTTGGATGTGATGTTTTGTTTGTTATGGCTAAAATAGCCTATTTTGTTTTTTGTGGCTAAAATAGCCAAAAAAAGCCTGCAAACCCAGTTGCCAAACACAGGCCTCCGTTTGGGAAGTGGGTTGGCTTTTTGGTTTTTTAATTTTTTTGGCTATTTTAGCCTGCGCTTAAAAGCTTGGTTTGGGAAGGGTTTTTTTGCTTTTTGACTTTTTTGAGTTTTTTTGTGAGAGAAGAATGTAATGATTATGGGTTGGATGTGATATTTTGTTTGTTATGGCTAAAATAGCCTATTTTGTTTTTTGTGGCTAAAATAACCAAAAAAGCCTGCAAACCCACTTGTCAAACACAGGCTAATTTTTTTTACCTCATATTTTAGCTAAAAAGTCGAAAAGTTACCAAAATAGTATGATCCCAAACGAGACTTCTGTTAAGCTATAATCTATAATCTGTTTCAACAACTACACAAAATGGGGTCTTAGTGTACCAATTGATGATGTGGTACAATTTAAGAGGTTTTTAGAATTTGTAATGTGATTAATTAGTTTGGTTAACAATAATATCATAACTAGTGTTGATACACTAATTAATATATTAATTGGTACATATAACACTACCGATTAATAAGTCAACAAATATTAATACCAACAAATCTCAGTATAGAAATAAATACTCAAAACTTGTTATTTCCTCTTCACCAAAATATTAATTTTATTATTCGGAGTTTTATTATTCGAAAATATTAGTCTCATTTTAAAAATTAAAGAAACAAATATTATAAATTTTTTTACCTTTCTTTCAAATTCATTAATAATACAATAAATATAATTATTACAATTATTATATTTTATATTTTATAATATATTATACAATTAGTCTCATTTTATATTTTATAATTATTATACAAAATAATTATACAATTAGTCTCATTTTAATTATACAAATGGCATAACTTTTGCTTCGTTTTAATTACTCTCAATTAGTCTCATTTTAAGTATACAAAATAATATAATATTTTATATTATATATTTTGCTTCAGGTCAATTAAATTTTATTATATATTTTGCTTCTGGAAACTGAATAATTATTTTATACAAAAATAAATAATATAAGAGATCGTAGCCGAGAAAGACACGTTAATAAAATATAAAAGGCTTGTGGCCTCTATTGTGTGAAATTGTGTTAAGTGATTTATGCTTGAACTACACATGTACTTACCAAAAGCAAAAAAAATTACACACATTAATGAGAGAGAGATGTATATACCTTTGTCTTTGTCTCGAACCAAGAGGGACAATGTGTATGTATGTATAGGATAAGTGTTATAGATAGTTGAGAGGCAACTAGTATTATATAGGCAAAGCTAGCAGCGTGTGAGATCAAGTTGACTAGAGCCAATGATGGATCTAGGAGGTAAGGGGCGGTCGGATTCTAAAAAATTTTAAAAATATTATATATTATATTAAAATTTTAAAAATAATTTAAAATTATAAAAATTCACACTCTAAATTTTTTTTAAAAAATAATTTTAAGATTATATAAAATAAAATTATATAATCGGCTCCAAACACATAATCCAGAATCCCTCATGTATATGAGGAGGCAGTAGGAGGCACCCTTTTGAGCTCAAAAAAGAAAACATGGCTATCTCCACCACCACTCTCCATACCTGCACAGTTCAACACACTCGAATCGCCATTAACAGACTCCTCAACATCTTCCAATTGACAGCAGTACTAGCCAGGCTCTACTACCGAATCTCCCACCTCTTCCTCGGCGACGTACAGGTCTTATCATGGGTCCTCATCACCATCTCCGAGCTCCTCTTCACCTTCCTATGGATCCTCTCACAGGCCTTCGAGTGGCGGCCCGTGGTTCGCACCGCCCACCCCGAAAACCTCCCCGCTGGAGTCGAGTTTCCGGGGGTTGACGTGTTCATATGCACCGCTGATCCGACGAAGGAGCCCACTCTGGAGGTGATGAACACGGTGTTGTCGGCCATGGCGCTCGACTACCCGCCGGAGAAGCTTGGCGTGTATATCTCTGATGACGGTGGTTCGCCGTCCACGTTGTATGCTGTTAAAGAAGCTGGTCGTTTTGCTAAGTGTTGGCTGCCGTTTTGTAGGAAGTACGGTATCAAGATTAGGTGCCCCGAAGCTTTTTTTTCACCATTAGGGGATGGGGAAAGGCTTTGGAGTGAGGAATTCAAAGCTGAGGAAGAAGAGATCGAGGTAGGATTACATGATGATTTTCAAGTAATTCGTATAGTTACATATTGGTCAATATATAAAAAATAAAAAACAAAATTCAACTGATATATTAATAAATAATAATTTAAAGCTTAAAATTTCTCAATATATCGACTGATATGATAAGCTGATATTTAAATTACGAGGTAATGATAGGTATCATAAAATTTTTTTTATGAAAATAATTATAAAAGTTTTGTGATTCTCAAATTACACTTAAAATAAAGCACTATACACTAATCAAATCAAAGTAATTCAAGCAAAATAATCTAAGGGTCCGTTTGGGAAGGGTTTTTTCGGATTTTTTTTTTTTGGCTATTTTAGTCACAAAAGATAAAATAGGCTATTTTAGCCACAAAAAATAAAACATCACATCCAATTCATAATTATTACATTTTTCTCTCACAAAAAAAGTCAAAAAAGTCCTTCTCAAACCAAGCTTTTTAACTCAGGTTAAAATAGTTAAAAAAGTTAAAAAGCCAAAAAGTTAACCCACTTTCCAAACGGAGGTTAAAAATGATAAATTTTTCATGAAAAAAATTTCATGATCACTAACTTTTTTCCCTTTAAATTATGACTGATCTAACTAATTTCACATTAATTCCCCATATACATACGAAGTTTTCATCCTACATGTATTGAGTGATTTTCAGGTATAAACGTGGTTTTAAATCGCTGGCCCTGTTCGGCTATGACTTTTTTAGCTAAAATAATTAATAAAGATAAAATAGATTAAGGCCTAGTTTGGGAAGACTAAATAAGTGCACTTTTTGATTTTTTTTTGTATTATGTATAGAAAAAGTAGAGAGGAGATGTTGATTGATGTGACTCAAAAAAGATAAAAAGATGAAATAAGTGCACTTTTTTCTTTGTAGCCAAACTTGGCCTTAAAATTAATTAATAAAATAAAATATTATATCCAAATCATAATCATTATATTATTTTTTTTTTTCATAATCATCAAATTAATTAAAAAAAAAAAAAAGTTAGCAAACTTTCCAAATATAACTTTTTTTAGTCAATTTAAAAAATCAAAAATTAACTAAAATAACTAATTTTTCAAACGAGGTACACATAACAATATCGGTCGCCGTTCATCAACATTGGGTGTATCTTGTGATACATATTGAAAATCGGGTATGCAATTGTAAATTTTCTAAAATCATTAACAACCCCTTGATGTACACATTTTTACCTTTTTAAGATCAATTAATCACATTTAAATCAATAATTTATTATACAGAAGCCATTATTTATTTATTACAAACTAGAGTTATAATGTATATGAATTGATTTCAACTTTTTATTTTGTTGTTACAATTATTATAAGTTTTAACAAACAATCTTTTTAAAATTAATAAATTTAATAATATGTTTTGGTCAATTAATTTAGTTCAATTATTACCCGAAAAGGTTAATATTTAAATCTTTATTTATTTTATTAATTTTTATTTTAATAAAATAATATTTATTTTTTTATAATATTAATATTAATATGAATGATGAATGTGAAATTGTTGAATATTTATTGTTTGTGCAGTCAGCATACAAATTATTCAAGCAAAATGTGGAGAAAGCTGAAGGATCTGGTGCCATAGTTGTGCACGATAGACCTCCTCATATTGAGGTATGTGATGGTATTGAATCAAGGCGACCTTTGGAAATAGGGCCTTTCTTATATTGAAAAAAAAAAAATCTCTGGGACCTCTATCCTTGTAATCTCTAGGGAAATTGACAACATTACTTCTTATAGGACCTCTTTCAACTAATAAATCTCTGAAATTTTGATCAACCTTGTCCCAATTACTTGGGTCATTAATATTTAAAGGTCCATATTCAACATTAAAATCTTCACTTTCAATGGGTTCCTCATTCACCAAATTTTCATTTTCATTCTCATTCAAACATTCAATAGGCTCTTCAACACTCAAATCTTCATTATCATTCTCATTATATTGATTAAGTTCTTCAATTACCAAATCTTCATCAACCAAACATGAACATTCTATTTGTTTCTTGCTACCAAAAAATTTATCAAACGCTCCCGATTGAGATTGAATAAAATTTTCTAATTTTTATTTTTATTTTTCTTTTTTCACATCCAGAAATATACTTCCTAGGAGGCATGACTACTCTATATAATCACAAATCCACACAAATTCACAATCATTGATCTCTGCAAATAATATACTTTAAGAATTAGAGCATAACAAAAATTATTGAATTCCACTAAAGCACATAAATTAGGTAGTTTCTAATTTAAAGAACAAATTATATAGGGCAAGAAATTAGGAGGAAAATTAAGGGGAAAATTAGGGCAAAAACTTCCTCCATTTAAATGTGATATATATAGAGAGAGAGAGACTCACGATTTTGATGCCTAAAATTGTTAATGCTCAGCGTCCGCCAAATATGGAGGAGAGGAGAGGACTGAAGGTTTCATTAGTCCAATGCGAGAGAGAGATCAGTCCAATACGAGAGAGAGAGAGAGAGATGTTTTTCTTTCCATGTTTCTTTTCTTTCAGTGACCCACGTTCTTAGCCTCAGGGTGGATATTATAAATTATAATGTGTATCTTGCTTTTGGGCCCATGTTAGTTGGGCGTCTAATCTATCATGATATTTTTTTTTAGGCCCCATATACAATTGGGTTTATAGTGTTTGGATTTTTTTTTTTTATATCTAAAACACAAAATCATATTTTGGGACCCTATTTTTAGCCCAAATCTGGGGGCCTAAGGCGCAGGCCTCTTTGGCCTACCCTCAGGGTCGGGCCTGTTTGGGCCCATGTAAGTTGGGCCTCTAATCTATCATAATATATATTTTTTTTAGGCCCCATATACAATTGGGTTTATAGTATTTGAAATTTTTTTTTTTTATATCTAAAACACAAAATCATATTTTGGGGCCCTATTTTTAGCCCAAATCTGGGGGCCCAAGCCGCAGGTCTCTTTGGCCTACCCTCAGGGCCGGGCCTGTATTGAATAATTCCCAATTAATTTTTCTAAAAATTTAAGTTGTTAGGAAAAGAGATAAATTTATTATTTTATATTCTCAATACAGTCACATTAAATCCCATAATTGAAATGAGAATGTTGATTGTATTATGTTGCATTGATGTTAAAAAGGGTGTTGAGTCCTAGTAATAGCAATGAAAATGATGTTTGTTTATAAAATTGTTGTCTTTTAAATGATCTTACTATGGCCTAGTTTAATTGGCAGAGCCTAACAACCATAATAGATGGCAAGGATTTTTAATGAGGTTTGGGAACAGGCTTTTTAGGGGTTTTTTTAATTAAAATAGGAGATAAAAAAAAATCATGATGTTTGGGATGATTTTTTTTTACAAAAATATGTGAAAAAGTAGAGTAAATAGAAAGAAATATTTGACTTTTGAGTAGTTATTGATTTTTTGGTTTTTAGTTACTTTTTAACTTTTTAAATTTATTGCCAAACGTGCCTAATAAACTGAGACATTGTAAATTCGATTTCACTTAATGTTGTGTTTAATCTTAATTGATAAACGTATGCTACTATGAGAGAGAATGTTATATATAAATGGATTTTGACTAAATTTTATTTAACTAGACACGAAAGTAATGGGACTTACATTAATTAATACGTGTGAACACTCATTATCTTTATGTTTAGTGATAATAAATCGGATAAATAATTCATTTTGTATAGTATTTTCTTTTTGCTTCAACATGGAAGTGAATATATTTGGTAGGACAAATTAAGCAGACAAATCAATGTTAGGAAAGCCAATGCAATTCTGTAGTAATCAAGTTTGATCTTGATTAACGTAGTTAATACATAGTTATTAGCTAAAAAAGACCACAAATTAAGGGAAAATTTTGAAATCTCTAAACACTTACTTGCATTTTATTTGATAAAAAATTAACCTCTGTAAAAGACACGTGTCAACATTCTTCCAATTGCACATCATTTTTAATTTTAAATGACAAGTTTATTTTAAACAATTCATTTGATTTTTGCAAGGCATGACAAAAAGTATTGACAACATGGCATTGCATTTGAAAACTCAAGAGTTTGTGTGTGTATCCTTATAGAATTTTACCTTATAGCATTGTGCTAGTACTCTGTCCTGTAGAGTAATATGTTATCAGCTAAATGTAATGCTTGCAAATTTTTTGCTTACCATCAACATAAAAATATAAGATTAGTGAAAATTGATATATCATCTAATTAATTTGGTTATTATGTTGTAGGTAATTCATGATAATAGAAAGGATGGAATTAGCAATGATGACCAAGCTAAAATGCCTCTTCTTGTCTATGTATCTCGAGAAAAAAGACCATCTCATCCTCATCGTTTCAAGGCTGGAGCCCTCAATGCTCTCGTTCTCTCTCTCTCTCTCTCTCTCTCTCTCTCTCTCCATATATATATAAATATGTCTCAAAATTAACCATTAAAGTTTTACCACCTATGTTGCACAGCTTCGAGTTTCTGGGATAATGAGCAATGGCCCATATGTGCTAGTATTAGACTGTGACATGTATTGCAATGACCCAACATCAGCACGACAAGCAATGTGCTTCCATCTTGACACCAAGATCTCTCCCTCTCTTGCGTTTGTACAATATCCGCAAATGTTTTACAATGTTAGCAAGAATGATATCTACGACAGCGAAGCAAAATCAACTTATATGGTATACAAAACCTTTAAAATGATTCCTATTCATTGCTTATCAACTGCAACATTAAAGCCAATTAAAGTGTAGCATTTTCCCACGACATGATTTAATTTTTCAATCCAATTTCAGTTGAAGTGGCAAGGCATGGATGGGCTAAGGGGCCCTCTGTTCACTGGTACAGGCTATTACTTGAAGAGAAAGGCATTATATGGGACTCCTAATCAAGAGGGTATGCCTATATTACCTTTTAGAGTGTTATTTTATTTGTGTTAATTTACTTAACAATTAGCATAGTTAGAAACAGGACACACACAACTTCTATCACAACTGGACATCAAATTACTGAAGACTTGGCCAACTTCTTTTATTAATGTTCTTACTCTCATTCATTATCTTGGGTCTGTAGATGCTTTTCTTCATGAACCACAAAAAAATTTTGGTTTGTCTAGCAAATTCATCGCTTCACTAAAAAGTTCAAATCATCAAGACACTAGTGGGAAGGAAATTCAATCAGATGCAATTGTGGATGAAGCCAAGAATTTGGCGACTTGCACCTTTGAGAAAGGCACAAAATGGGGTCAGGAGGCAAGTATTGAATCCTCCTACAACTTTTTTCTTTTAAAACTTTTTATGGGTTTGGGAAAATTAGTACACTATTGAATAACCCTAAAAGTTCTTATTTGCTTGGGTAACAGATAGGCTACTCTTATGTTAGCTTGTTGGAGAGCACATTCACTGGGTATCTATTGCACTGTAGAGGATGGAGGTCTGTGTATCTTTATCCAAAAAAGCCATGTTTCTTGGGTTGCACCACTGTTGACATGAAGGATGGCTTGCTTCAATTAATGAAATGGAGCTCTGGATTGATTCAAGTTGCTTTGTCAAGGTTTAGCCCTTTTACGTATGGTATATCAAGGATGTCTATTCTTCAGAGCATGTGCTACGGATTCCTCACATTTTCTCCCACTTACTTCTTGGCCAACTGGTTACATGGAATCGTCCCTCAACTATGCTTTCTTAGTGGCATTCCCTTGTACCCAAAGGTATATATTTTCTTGATATTCTTTCCTTTTATTTTCCTAATTTAATACATTAAAAGAATGGTTCCACAATCGGTTAATTGTCTTATGGTTTTCTTTTGAAGTTCGATTATGTGATATTTCAATTATTGTTTAGGTGTCAAGCCCGTGGTTTGTAGTTTTTGCAGCTGCATATGCATTTTCTGTTTGCCAGCATCTATACGAAGTCTACTGTACTGGTGGCTCGATTAGGACATGGTGGAATGAAGAAAGAATTGGGGTAATGAGGGCTGTAACAGCATACTTCTTTGGGTGTCTGGATGTTGTAATGAAGAAGTTAGGTGTTGCAAAAGCGAATTTCAGGTTGACAAACAAAGCCATTGACAAAGAAAAGCTCGAAAAATATGAGCAAGGCAAATTCGACTTCCAAGGGGCTGACAAGTTCATGGTTCCCTTGATAATATTAACCGTGTTGAACTTGGTTTGCTTCATTGGTGGAGTGAAGAACGTCATTTTTGAGGGGAAATTGGAGGAGTTGTTTGCTCAACTTTTGATTTCCTCTTGGATTCTGTTAATCACTTATCCTGTGCTTGAAGAGTTCATTCCAAAGAAAGGCAAGTAAAAGATCTTGGAGGTCTTTTATTGTTGCACAATGGAGGTTGTTATACTTGTTTGGAAGTAAATTAATGTGTTTTGAAATGTTTTGACACAACTATTGATGTGTGTAGTGTTGTCATTTCTTAATTTTATGGCATTTTATGTCTGTTCCTTTGAGTACTATTATCAACATGAATGGAGATACGTGTGTCCATTATGAAAGAAGCATTCAATTCCACCTATTGACAAACAGGGGAAAGATGATTCAATAATACAAGAAGGCAGACACCATTGCCTTCTATAGGGGTTTAAACCATCATTAACATTATAAGATTACACTTTTATTCTTTTCTCTTTTTTTTTTCTATTTTTTTTTTTAAATATATGTCTTTAATATAATGTTGATAATTAGGTTGACACATTACATAAGAAGATAAAATGGTAGAAATAAATATATGTTTTTTTTATAGTGAGTTTTAATTATGAATTTAAAAAGAAGTTTCAACAATAAAAAGAACGAGTGAGAAAAATAAAAAATAAAAAAAAATTATTTACAATTTTCTTACTTTTTATTTTTTCTTTCCAACCAAATCATGAACCAAATTTATGAAACCATGTCCCTAAACTCTGATATTTAAAAAACAATAAAAATAAAAAAAATAATCCTTTTATTGCCTTTATTAGATAGACATATTTAATACACGAGTAATACTATACTACAATATATATATACTAGTGTATGCCCGTGCCTAAAGGCACGGTGTAAATAATATTTTGTTTGAATAATTTTCATATGTCATTCTCTCTTAAGCTAGGAACACTGAGAATCAAGTATACCTAATCTATTTTCCCATAACATACAAAAAATGAATACATAACATACATTTGAGCAAGGGAATCCCCTTTATTATAAACACAACTTCAAATAAAAGAATATTGATGAATATAGGAAGGAAATCATATAGGATTTCCAAGAAATCACAGGACAAAGTTAAGCAGATGTTTGGTTTGCTTTTGCTTTCTTTCTCAGAAGTTGTACAGAGCTTTGTTTCTACTTTGAAAAGCTCAAAAGTAAAAGCAACCAACCCAAATTCTGAAAACGGTAAGGCCAGTAGGTTGCCACAGCGGAGACACGTGCCAACTTGAGAATTGTCTGAATTCAATTCAAATTTTTGTAGAGGAACGGTGTTTTGTTTTCCATAAAAAAAATAAACGATTTTTTGTAAATTAAAAATTAAGAATTGAAAATGTTTAAACGACTAGTGTTAAATTTCACTCAAGCTCATATCAGAACATAACAGGACTTAAGGGTATATGAATTTATTATACCTCTCATTTTAATTATTTAAATTATTTATTTTATAAGATTTTTTTATGTAAATCATCGAATGAAAATATTTAAATCGATCTAATAATTATAATATTTTTATTTTATTATATTTGTCTAAAAATAAATAAATGATATTTATTGTCTATTTTTTTAAAAACAAACATAATAAAATAAAAAGTTATAATTATCGAATCAATCTAATTTTTTAATAGATAACATACAATAACAGTTCAAATTATCAAAACGAAATTTGTAATGAGTATCGCAAACACCTCAATCTCATATTCATATGAACTTGGGAGCTTGGCTTCATTTTTTTTTTTGTTGAAGGACACTGCTAAACGTTCGATTCTAAAATTTTTAATGCAATTGCTTTAAATTTTAATTTTTTTGAGGTATAAAAACAAAATTTATGTCTCTATTTACATGTTCACTTTTTTGTTCATCCTTCTTGGTGAATTTTTTGGCTACCGCAAAATTTTTGACGACTTTTCTAGCATCAGCAAGATTTTTGAAAGTTACTAAAGTCTCGTTTGACAACTGAATTTTTTAGTTAAAAAGTTAAAAAATTACTAAATTAACTAAAAAATCAATAATTCATACTAAAAAGTCAAAAATTCTCTTTTCTCTCTACTTTTTACACATATTTTCGTAAAAAGTCAAAAAGTCATCCCAAACATACTAGTTTTTTTTAACTCATATTTTAGTCAAATAACTAAAAAATTACTAAATTAACCTGTTCCCAGACTGAAGCCTAAGATTGTGTTTGACAATAGAAAGAAACTACAAATAAAAAAATGTAAAGGTAAAATTGTCATAAATTCAGTTTCACCCTATATGTAAACAAAATAAATTATCATTTTAGCATTAAAAGATCTGATATCATCTTTAATACCCCATGTGCTGCTGGCCCAACTTGGATTTAATTTATCCCCTATTTATTCTATCCTTAGTGTTGGGCTTAGAATTTTTTTTTTTTTTTTATATATATTTTGCATGTGGAAAACACGATGGTAGAATTTTTCATTGGGCCATGGGGGACTCAATTAATAAGTTTGGTGTGCATAGGCTTTAATTAAAGTATTCAATAGTAGAGGAGTTTTTTTTTTTTTTTTTTAATAAGAAAATCGAAAGCAAACAAACTTGTTAGGTTAGGCATGCCTTCCCTATAAAAAAAAAAGATCTTAAAAATATATATTTTAATAAATTTGTGAAAAAATAATTTCACCTTCAATATTCTCAAAAAGTTTACAATGTCCCTGTAAAATCTCGACAATAGTATATGGTAATTTTTTTAATAAAAATCAAGTTTGAAAGATTTTTTTTTTAAATTAATCTTTTAACAATTACCAAACTTAAATTTTTTTAGATTCTTAAACAGTATAAAAGCTAAAAAATAATTATCAAACCCCACCTTATTAGATAAAAAATAAATAAAATCATTTTGCTAAAAATATCTTGGTTTTGTCAAATTTATTTCTTGCTAAAAAAACACCTTTTTTTTTTTGGGTTACAAGAAAATCTTCTCACTCTCTCATAGGTCTAAGGCAGTGCCACCAAGGTGTACTGCTATCCGTTCTGAGTTAGGAGACTATAACTTGGGAACTTATCCCGACCTCTCAAGACAAGCTCCGTTAAGTCAGGACTTGCATAGCAAGGAATATTGAACCCATACCACCAAGGTGTCCTGTTGAATTAAGAGACTATAACCTAGAAACTTGCTCCGACCTCCCAAAACAAGCTCCACCAAGGTGTCCTGTTGAGTTAGGAGATTATAACCTGAGAATTTGTTCCAACCTCCCAAGATAAGCTCTACCAAGGTATCATGTTGAGTTAGGAAACTATAACTTGGGAACTTGTCCCGATCTCTCAAGACAAACTCCGTTAAGTTAGAACTTGTACAGCAGGAGGACATTAAACCTGTACCAAGTACTGTAATGCTCAGAAAATTAGCCCCAAAAATTTGAACCTACGACCTGAGGATTTAATCCACATACCCTTACCAAGTTACTAACACCCTTGGTTAACCTACTTTAGTCACCCTAAAAACAAATCATTATAAAAGGTTTCAAAAACTAGCATGTGGCAAACTAATGCTTTAACTTTTTATTTTATTTAATTGTACATGATGAAGTGACTGGATTCTTGAACAAATCATTGTTCAAAGTTTCAAAAACCAGCATGTGGCACACTAATACTTTAACTTTTTATTTTATTTTAATTGTACATGATGAAGTGACTGGATTCTTGAGGCCATTCATTTAAAGTAAGGGTTATTTATACAGAAATTTCCTAAATTATAAAATTATATAAATGAATCTGTTAAATTATTAAAAAATATCACTTTATCCCCTATGATAACGTTCTTCTTCCCGGGTGAATGGGTCGGATTGGTCCAGGCTCTTCAGGTTCCGGTTCAGGGTGATGATTCCGTCAAATGACCTGCATGCAAGCCCAAAGGGGAACGGGGCAGTCCCCCAGTGAACCCTCCGGCGTGAGAATTAGTAGAGGAAGAAGTAGAGAATATGAAGAGAGGGAACAAGAGAGAGATAACTTAACCTTATTCTTGTCTTTCTATCCTTGCTTATATCATTTGGTCATCATTTCCCTGTCTCTTGTGACGTGCTTCCTTTCGCCGAAAGCCTGTGCCGTAGCTTACCTTGTTCAGGGTGATGGGGCTCTGTTCCGACGAGGGGGTGTTGTCGTAATAAATGCTGTGATGGGACGCATTAATGGTGATGTGTTGTGATAATAACTCTGCAGATCTTTGTCTGCTGATGTGGCCCGTGTCCCACCTGCCATGTGCCCAAATGCCATTGGCCCTCCATGTCTAGATGGCCTCCAGCTGTCCTGGGCTTTGCCAACCGGGTTATGCCATTGGTCCCAAGCGATGGGTTTGGGGTGGTTTGCTGTGGGCCGTATGCCTTGTGGGTCTATCCGTGTCAGTAGTCCCCCATTTCCGAGTGCAACTTTAGCCCAACGAAGGGAATAGTAATAAGGAAGAGAAGTGTGAACCGAGTGGAGAGGCCGACTGGAAGCCGTGCCGACCGCAAGGGTGACTGAGCGGGAGGGGGCGACCATGAGGCGTGCCGACCGCGAGGGTGGCCGAGTGGGAGGGGGCGACCGTGAGGCGTGTTGACCAGGACGGCGCGGGGCTCAAAAATGTGACGATGTGAAATGGAAAGGACAGGGTAAGGGGAGAGGACAGTGCATCGTGGCCATACACGTGGCGATATCGTGGGGGAATGAAACGTTGGAGCGGAAATGAAACGATAGGTCACGAGGGGGGTTTTGAAAAGGCGGTTTTGGCGGTTGATTTGAAAGGTTTTGAAACGGGCGAAAATTAATGTGGATCCATGGGATACGGGTAAAACCGTGGGTTTTTGGTATAATGCGTTTCACCTACCTTTTTACAAAAACTCAAAATATCCAAGTGTTAATTCCTTCACTGCGTACGACATATCTATGTAGCATCCTCTCAACTTCCTTGCGTCTGCGTCAGAAGTGTTTTGTAAGCAAACCCTAGAAATGGCGCAAGAAGAAGTAGACAATGTAAGGGTGGACCCGTTGGGGGATGATGATGCGGAGGAGTTAGCAGCGCGATACAGGACGGAAGTGCGAATGGTGGGGGAAACGGTGGGAGAATCGCAGGCGTCGGTCCTAGTATTGGCGCCACAGCCACTAAGCCAGGTAGAGCCAGATCAGTGGCACACTAAGGTGGATAGGTCCACACTCACGGCAGCGGATTTGGAGGTGATTAGGGAACGGTACCAGATTCCAGCGGAGGTAGAGTTACGGCTGCCAACATCAGGGGAAAGGCCGTCTACTGTGAGGCCAGGGGAGTTTTCCCTGTACGAGGAGGCGCTAAAAGGGGGGCTGAGGCTGCCACTGC